AAAATACCCCAATGATCCCTTGGAATGGCTATTTTTATATAGTTTTAATGCTGTATAAGGAAAGTCCCACAAATATCCTCTCATTAACAACTTAATATCCATGTTTTATCTAATTAATTCTGTTTAGGAATTTTGAGTATCAAAACCCACAGCCAGAACGTCAGAAATCTTGTTTTCGAATATCAAAACTGTCAGTTTGATATTTCTAATCAAGGGAATTACAATTTAGGCAGTTTTTCCCTGTGCAGGAAGAGCAAATCATATCCCGTCAAGCTCTACAACTGACTTTTTGTATCTATTTGTTTATAATTTACGAAAAATGCAATTAGCTGGGCTGTCGAAAGCAGGCAGGCATTTGAAGCCTGACTGAAGGCAGCCCGCGTTTCGGGCCCTCAACTCATGGGCCACATTAATAATACAAACTTTCTTTGACTGGGCTGCCAATCAGTTGTTTGGAAAGCCCACAATAAACCCATATAAAACTTGTTAAACAATGGCCAACCAGTACAGTGAAGCCAGGCCAAAATCAACTCCTTCTATACAACCATATACAATGACAGAGCTTAGCTAGGAAGTGCCATTTTTATCTACCATAAGCACTCTTCGTAAACGGTTTTCCAACCACTGTGCCTGGCAGGGGGCCATTAGCAAACTTTTCCGAAAAAAGATCGAGTTAGCAGGGGGTGGCTGTGAAGTTTTTGGCGAGGGGAAGCTGCAAGTCTGGTTCTATGTTAAATGAATTGTTGTCTTAACTACGAGACACGAGCACCCCCCCTCCGAACCGAAACTCGCAGACCATTCGACAGGTGAAGGGGTCTGTGTCTATTAAAATTGCGGGCGCGGTGCAGCAGCCAAAAAAGTTTCACGAAATTCATTTTTCGAAAAGTAAAAAAAAATTAAATAAAACCAAAAAAAAATGTGGATCTACTAAAGAGTGAAATAAAAAATGAGAAAAAAATGGGATACTTCGAAGCTGGAAGGATTATACTCTAAAAGTAAGCAATGTGTGGTCTAGGAAATATATTTTATTGGTTAAAAATATGTTTTAAGAACTAATTATTTTGATAATAAACTATCATATAAAATACCGAAATATTAGTAGAAAATGCGGCTTAAAATCCAACTTGAGAGACTAATTTTTTAAAGTTATTTCTAGAACTAAAACTCCAACTTTAAAGTGAAGTGTTAAACAGCTTTTCCTAAACGACTTTTTGGGAAATTTGACTGCAGAGCTGTCAAACTGAAAGCTTTCACATTAAACACCTGAAGATTTCACCTTTTACTTCCTTCCTGGCAAACTCCAGCACATAATTACAGTGCCGCCATCGAGAAGAGTATGAAAAGTTTAAATAACTTTGGCAACTAAATTTAAGTTGCTATGTCGGTGGGTGGTTGGCATCAGGGGGTATGACAGGGTGTGGCATACTGCGAGGGTCGTGACAAAGTTGGGAGCAGATAAAAACTGCAGCAGACGCAAAACTAATTTGCGTGGTTATGTAAATTAGAGTCGGAGAGAGTTGCTGCGATAAACTTGTTGAGGGCGAGGAGCTAACAACACCAGGAGCGGTACGAAAAAAATCGCAGCACAAATGCGTAAACAAGGTGGGGATAATGTTGGGCTACAGCTACAGCTACAGCTCCAGCAACATCCACAACCAGATGTAGATGAAAACTAAACTAAAGCTCCGCAACCTCACCTTGAAGTTCAGCTGAGTCCGAACTCTCGGCAGAAGTTCAAACACAGCTGAAGGCTGTGGCGGTCTAGTTTACCGAGCTGTGGGCGTGGCACAGCTCAAGACCCGCTCTCTATACGATATATATATAGTATATATACTCGTTTAGTATACACCTGAATGTGGGCTTTGCAGCCGTAATCCCATAACCACAAACAGATAACAGAATAGTCGGGCGGGGAGACAAAGACACCGTTCGCCTCAAACAACTAAATAATGTGCAGCAAATTTAGAGACCGAGTGCAAGTATCAGAAAGATACACATACTACACTCAACCAAACACACATGAACACTGAAAGAAATAGATGTTCCCTTGAATAGACTTAACCTATTTCAGTTTATTATACCAATCTAGGGTTTCACTCCTTACTTCTCTAAGTTAGGAAGATCCTAACTTATAACTAAAACCAGTTTTCTCTCTCTGCACTTGAGATAATTTTTCGTCTAGCAGTTGGCATGGCTTAGGCATAATTTGGACCCAGACAGCAAGAGTGTGGAGGCAACGCATCCTGCAGATACATCGTCGGCTGTCTTGGAAACCGCAGGCGGTGTATTCGGAACTACCAGCAGCCCAGCAGTAGTTCCCGCTCTCTAAAGTCATATTAATAATTTTGTTGGGACTTGAACTACATCCATTGCCGAGACTGTTGGCACACCACCACCATATCCTCCTCCTCCTCCACTGCCTCCTGCACTTTTGGCATTCCATGGACCGCAACAACTTGCAGGATGCAGTCGGTAGATCGGGACATGAGCTGTTACCATGGCCATTAAAGCTTAGTTACACTTACTCCCGCCCCTAAGCCTAAACCAAACCTAAAATTCACCTACAATATACCCAGTTTTGTTTACTATTCCCATGCAAATGGAAAAAGAAGACGACAGCAAAATGCACATGCTCCTAAAATCGTTCTGTTTTTCACCTGTTGTCGGGCTTTGATTTCACTCGGATAGATTTCCACTTGGAGTGCTTTTGGGGCTGGCGATTTGAAGAAGTTTTGCTTGGCAATGTGTAAATGTTTAGTCTGAGCTTCTAGTCTGGGGAAATTCCCATATGGCTGCGGCCACAAAGACTAATAATTCAGAATATTTTCATGGGAAAATATCTGCAGTTTCCTTAGGGCTGTGCCAGCCTGCCTGCTAGAATGCCACATCAATATTGACTGCGTTTCGCCCACACAATATTTGTGGGATTTTCTTCTAGAGGCACTAATTAGTCGCCTCCGGTTCCGTCTCATCCTTGGCTGTGACATGTGATATTTTTAGTGGCGGCTTGTTTACAGGGTTGCAGCCGTTGAACTCAGACCCTCATTTATTTTTAGCCGCCTGCAGGCAGCATTCGATTTGTGTTAATGACATGCAAATCAACTTTGGTGGTCCTGTGACAAATACCCGCTCCAATTACCCACGAAAATTCCCACTGTGTTTGTATATTTTTTTGACAGTTGATTGTTTTATTGAAAAGTGGCACGGTGCAAAAGGGCAAAAGGGATTCTACTGTTTTTTTTTTTCTAATAGTTGAGGAAGAGTAGGAGGGCGGCAGCAATAGCAAATAAGTAAATATTTACTATTTACTCTAGCCGGGCTGTGAGAAAATCATTAAATCAGTACCGAGTGAGACACCACTGTGCCATACCCAAAAGCAAACACAAACAGCGAAATCAATATAGCGTGCGATCGGGCGGAAAAACTAACTCAAAGGGTAAATAATAAAAAATTTAATTAGAATTTCTGTTATTAAATAAAATGCCACCAAAGAGCAAAATGCCACTAAATTGAAAAATTTGAAAACAAGCCGAAACAGAAACAGCAACAGAAACAGAGACTCTCTGAAATTGGAAACGAAATGAAATAAAGCTCTGCGCTAAGTTAGAGCCGCGCAAAAATCACACAAACATTTCCGCTGCCAGAAATGGAAAATGGAAAATGCGAAATGGGGGGGAAATGGTCAAATAAAAACACAAATACTAAAAATGTAAAAGGTATTTAAAATGTTTTTCAAATGCGGTTGCAGTGGTTTCAATGTGTGGCCGCCAAAGTAAATGAAAATATTTCAGCGAAAATGAAAAATGTTTGTCTGTGACTTTCGCAGGAGATTAAACAACAACAGAAAAAAAGGTGATGCTTTGCATTATTTATTAAATATGCTAAATAGCACAAGTCAGTGAAGCCTGGAAAAGCCCCTTCAAGTGCTGCACTCGAATGACAAATTTAAGGCGCGATTTTCGGTCTGACCAGGCGAGATAATGAGAAAAAATAAATGCCAGCCCATAAAACGTCTAGTTCCGCACATAAACCTGTCCCTCTATGGCAGAGATTTTACGACCTCTCTCTCTCTCACTCCAGAGCCTGTCCCATCTGATGTCAGGGGCATAAACCAACGAGATCACCGCCCACGCAATAAAAAACATAAAAAACTGGAGAGCTGGCAGACTGGCGGCCTGGAGGTGGGAAACTGTACACAAATTACCAATTTTTAATTTGAAAATGCGGCGCAAACTTTAATTAGCCATTCCCCTTGTCCTGGACAAACTTTATGGCACTTGGCGCCGTCCAACGGCTGTGTTGCATATCAAGACTCTAGTATTTATTGGCCAACAAGGCGTCGGTGCAATTTATGGCCCAGAGTGTGAACGTGTGTGTCCACTTTTGGACTGCACCACTGCCTCCCATCGACACTGTCGCACCGCCGAGGCCGCAAAATCCACAGAATAATTTCGGTTGCTGGCTGTGATTTGGCTTTGGATTTGGCATGACCATATAGCCTGCTCTAATTTTCACGATTTTCCTTTTTTCCACTGATTTTTTTTTTTTTTTTTGTTTTTGATTTGTCGGAAAAAGGATCGTAGTAGCATGTGTGTGCAGTGCGTGTGGAGCTTGTGGCTTTCGCCACGCGCTAGAAATAAATTTTGCCCGGCACCCAAACGATTTAATTTGCGGTTTCTGTCACAGACGACGCACACTCGATTTTCCATTGCAAAATTGATAAAACTTATTTGCGGGCGGGCTGCCGATAAAAAAAAAGGTGGACAACAAACAAAAAAAAAAAACGATTAAGCAACAAATCACAGATAAATGCTATCGAAATTGAGAATATATTTGAGATAGGTTAGGGGCTTAAACAAAAGCTATAGAAATATATTGTTTTATAGGAATATATTTTATTTTTTAGCTAGAATTGCGAATCACAAGAAGTTCAAATTAAATTATAAATATTTAAATAATTTCTTTTATTCATAACCAGCGAATAAAGTACTTCGTTAGGTTGTACTTTAAAATATTTATTTAAATAATAAATAATAAAAAATAAACAAAATGTCGAATCAAAAACCAATTGGTAAGTAGTAAAATACATTCTCCCATATTAGCCTTGCCCAAGGAAACAGCCAATCGCCTTGCACTTCCTCAGAGTGCACCTCAGGTAGTGGTAGCTCAACCGCTCGTACTTAACCTCCCAGATGTTACTCGTTTTCTGCTTGTCATGGTCGGCTATAAGGGTACTGACCCTCAGCCATAGTGCCACCAAAATAGTACTAATGTTAAGGACCTCTTCCCCGCCAAAACTATGTCGTCCTTCTTCGAATTCCTTCTGCAACTTTTCCTTCATTTGAAAAATGAAAACCTCTTGGATTTGTCTTAATTCTGTCAAAACAGTAAACTCATTGAAACCAGTTTCGTAGGAATATAAGTTCTGTAGTCTCTTAAAAGCTTTGTCAAGATTTGAAAGCTGCTCTTTGATGATGGACCTTAGGTGAACCTGTAGAGATTTCAAGGCTTCAACCAATTGCTGTTGCTTGCTGTTATCAAGAGAAGGTAAATGTTTAAGCTGATAGAGAGAAAAGTGCATGTTTAAGAGTAGACGGAAGTAAGAGCTCATCTCCTCTATTTGATCCTGAGTGACCACACGATTGAGTAGCGGATCATAGTGGATCCTTAGAGAGATATTGTCAGGATGAGGTCCACATAAACGGACTTGAAAGAGATAACCCAATTGGGTATCCTGGGAAACCACTATCTCCCTTAACTTAATAGATGCCTCCATGAGTTTGTTTCTTTCAAGGAACATAAATAGCATCTTGAACTCATTCCGAAAGAGGTCATAGTTCAGGTGGAGATAAACTGATCGTAGGTGTTTTACTATCTTATGCAGGTCATTAATCAAGTCAGCGACATAAGAGTTGGCCACCAGGCTTCTACGTTGAAGTAATCTTTGCAGCTCCTTAATGATGATTTCTGATATGGGAGTGTAGCTGGCACAGACCTCAAAGTTTCTGATCATCGCCTCAATGGAACAACCAACTGGTTTCAGCGGATCTGGTCGAGTTTCCATGTAAAAGGAGTAGAACAACCGTCGCAAAGTAATCTGTTCAGTGGCCTCCAACTGCTGGAGGATATCCGGAACATAGCTGTTCTCTTCTAATAACTCAGTTTGATAAGGAATCACTTCCTGGAGAACTGCTTTCATCAATGAAGTGTGTAGAGACTCCTGGGGAGCGATGAAATGCAAGGAGTTGAATTCACCCAGCTTACGGGTATCGTAGAGAACTGCCACAGCCTGAGAGGACTCAAAGATATGTCCCTGAATGATATCAATCAAATCACTTTTTAGCTCTTCCTTCTTTTCAATACATATCTCTCTTAACGTATACTCCGTTCGTCCATCGATCCGCTGGCTTTGGTAAGGAAACTCTTCGTACCAGTCTGAGAGCTCGCCGGTTGACCACCAACTATCCAAGAACTGACAGTAAGCCTGCAGGGAGTGCAGAAGCAGGGATGCACTTAAGGATCTCATAAGTTTAGGCTGAGTGCTTCTTGTACTATGAGACAATAAAGAGTTTAAGATTCTTAAGCTTCGCACCGAAGGATGGTCTTCTTTATTGTCCTTAGAGAGTTCATACAGCAAACTTATCCTTTGCAAAGGCTCTTTTGTGGTCTCTATAAAGTGCTGCAGGGTAGGAGTTTCAGTACCTCTCGTCAAACGCCTCTCGTAGTAAACCAGAAACTCCATCACAGGACGAAGAAGCCGCCGTAGAGATATACTGAGAAAGGTTAGGGTCTCCACGCGATCACCACTTATCCTTTTAATGGCATGAGTTTCAATCATCTCCCTTAGGTAAATCATTTTCTTCACTAAACTAACAACCCGATCCAAGTGTGGACCCTCCAGTAAGTGCCTTAATGCACAAGTGGAAGGTTCGCTTATCTGCAATTCCATTTTCTCATTCAACATATCCAAATGACTATCGTTTGGGTTTGTAAAGAAGAAGATAACCAGTTCGTTCAACAGCTGGTGCTCCTCACTTGTCCTTCTCAACGAATTGTGGCATTCCCTGAGCTGATAAATTAAAAAGTCACCGTAGCCCCGAGTGAAACTGCTGGCCAAAATTCGCGGCTGATGGTAGACATGGACATCAACATGCCACCAAGGTGTTTTAATCCTGGAGAGCAGATCATTGTCTTCCCGAAAGCAAGTTACCTGTGAGGCCTTTTCTGCCGCAGACTCATCCTGAGTGAGATTCAGTTCCAGCTCCAACCTGGCATCTTTCATGACAAACTTGTCTTTGACTTGGATCTTGTTAGATTGAGGTTTAACATAGGTAGAGTAGGTTTGTTCCGGGAGTTCCACTGAATCAGATTGTTCCTCTTTGGCAGAAGGAAAATTAATGGGAAGAATTTCCGCTGTTGACTTAATTTCTGCTTTGCAAAGGTGCTGGCTACTAGATGGGCTAATATGTTTCCCAGTATCTTGACGCGCTATCACAGCCAATGATACCTTTGCTTTTCTCAGTTCCTCGCGAACAACATCCGAAGATTCAGTGGCCATAGTGACGGCCTCCAGGATATTCTTTCGCTTTTGCTCCATTTCATGATAGTTCCGATGAACCTCATGAAAGGCCTTGTAATTCACGTGAAGCAAAAAGTCCATCAAACGCCACTGAAGATTGGGCTGGATGTGGTTCTGACAAATTGGATGGTTTAGCACCACATTGGCCAGCTGCTGGAATGTTTTCCCGAATTCAGCTAACCTTTCGCTGCGAAAGCGCTCTAAAAAGTGATTCATGTTAATCCACACGCCCTCCGGACTGCACTCCTCGTGGTCAGAATGGGCTAGGTAGTTCTGGGCATAGTTGAGGCAACTCTCGAAGGTGGCCGAGTCAATCTTACATTCAATTCCAACATCCTTTTTCCCGTCATCGATGGGGGAATCCAATAGCAGTCGCACTAACAGAGGCACATTGCGGGCTATGACTTGCTGGCATGCGTCTTCTTGCATCTTTAAGTTGATAATGTTCTTGAAAAAAAAATATATATATGTTTCTTTGTACAAAAATGACAACTGAGAATTGGAAGTTACACTTGAAGAAAAGTAAATCTGTCATAGATGGAAATCTTAACTGGGAGTTGGAAGATCTTTTAGATATTTTTAACTTAAGATAGTCTTAGTCAGGTTATACTTTTTGGTCAGACATGAACTAAAAATACATTTACTAAAGTCCACAGATCTGCTATCGATTTCCATGTTACTGTATTGATTTTAAAGGATTTATTTATGTGCAAAAGTATCTCAAAGGAGTTGAGAAAAATAGGGATGGAAGCGGCTTACGTTGTTTTCGAATGGCCAAGGACCAGAGCGGCTTACAAAATGCTTAAAGAGAATTCGAACATGTAAATTCCTGTGGCATTTGTCGAGGAACTGGACCAGCAACTGAAGGACCTTAGTGACCCACTTGGGTCCATCCTCTTACCCCAGCTTCCCCGTCTACCCCGATTTACATGTGAATTTTGCTTTATTTTATTGTCGGACAAGATAAATACCAAAATATTGAATATGTACCAATGGGATGTGAAGAAATGCACAAGGACATGGAGCAGATATGCGGGAGGTGTTTGCCAAAGGATGAGAGGCAGGTCCTGTCATCTGCTTCCGAGCAATAACTCAAATGCAATCGAGCAGCATTCCAGCTGCAGTAGACCAAAAATAAACTCAACTACCGGGCTTTCCCCAAAGATTGCCAGGCAAATGAGAAAACTCTTGAATACTTATTTTAGTATGCCCATAAATTGGTATATTTTTAGGCTTTCGCAAATGAACACAGCTCTCTGATTTGTCAGTGACCTCAACAATTCCGCATAAACTTTAATTCACTGTCAATAAAAAGTTTTTTCAATTTCCTTGGCGAAAACACAGCAGAGAAGAATAACATCAAATCAATGAAATCCGCAAATAATTTTTTAAACTTAGCATTTTGAAAGGAAAGAGGAAGTTTGTCAAATATTTGGAAAATATTAATTTGCTGCCAATGCAAACTTTGGGCGATTTTTTCAAAGATTTTTTTTCCCTTTGGTTTTTGTCTTAGCCAGGCGATAGACAACAAATTTGCTGAGGACACTCGACAGAAGGAAAGTTTTGGCGAAGGATGGCTAGATGAAATCTGCACCAGAAAACAAAAGCCGAAATCTAGAAAAACAGTGAAAACGGTTTGAAGGCAAACTTGTCGGTCCAGAAAACTTTCCATCGCACTTGGCGAGAAGTAAGCGAAAAACTTAATAAAGATCGTCGTCCTGCAGGAGGACTCTCAAGAGGCACAACGCTCGACTGGCGATGGTGACAGCTTTTGGTCAATGGAGAATGGCAAATGGTGAATGGAAAATGGTAAAATGGAAAATGGGGAACGGGGAATGAAGCAGTGCACCGCGACCGCAGCCTGTCGAAATTAAACCAAACTGAATTTGCACTTACACTTTGGCCAGACGCCTCGACTTTGGCATCCGCCATCCCGCAGGACTCCATCCGGCGCCTGTCGAAATTGTCACTTTCGCAATTCCCCCAATAGTTGACTGGAGGAGCGAAGAACACAATGGTGGGTTAGTGGGTTGGTGGGTTGGTTGGCGTCAAGAAGCGCGTAAGTGACATTTATGCGCCTGCCAACTTGCATCCTGCATTTCCCCAGCTGGGAAACTGCGCTAAACTTTCGCCCAAGGCCAAACGAGGATGCCATTGCCGCATTCGACCCAAGTTTGTTTTAATAAATACCTCCATTCCACCATTGTCTCCGCCACCTGCTGGTTAGTGAGTTGGTAGGTTGGTTGAGAGTTTTTGTGGTGCATCCGAAGTTCTCAACAATTTACCCGCTCATCGACAGTTGCCCAGAAGTTGGAGCACAATGGAGCCAGTCGCCAGGAAACAATCAGCTCTGCCAGAAGCCTCAATCACAGACGCGGAATGCAAACGAGAGCTGCTCAAAATTACTCATTTTTATGAACTTTTTCACAGCCAGCCACGATTGTTGCAATTAACGAAAGTTTGCTTCTCGAAATAAGCTGCGGCAAATGGAATGATGACGAAAGGAGATATCCAACTGGGAACTGTGGAGGTTGAAAAAATGAAATATAAAGACAAAAGCACTGCAGTTTGTGGTGGCTTTCACTGGTAGAGAAATTCTTTATAGTTTCTTTGACTTTACCTGCGAAAGTCATTCCGTTTGAGTTAGAGAAAAGTTCTTTATTAAGCTATAATATTAACAGTTTTGAAAGGACTTTAAAAATTAAGCTCAAACTTAAGCCAAGTAAAGGTTAGGATTTGAAGTCTTTGTTTTTCAAGTTCACTATTTTTGTTATTATTTACTTTCTATGAAAAAATACGATTTAAAATCGTAACTAAACAACAATTCTAAGTAATCTCCCTTTGAGTTTCCCTTTTTACAGCCTAATGAACTTCAAGATAAAGTTCAGCATTTTATGGGGGCCACATTGCTGCTCCCCCCAAAACCGTAGATCTCGGTGCAACTCACCTCTGTCGCTGATGGGCCTCATTTAGCGGAGATTTCTTATCAAGCGACCGGATGTCGGAGTGAACTACCTCAGCCCGAACACGTTTTCTATTTATAAACTGCTTTTTGGAGCCAGTTCACAGATCACAAAACCCACATCTGGCCGCCAGGAGCAGGCCACACAAAAACACCAAAAAAAAAAAAAAAACACTTCTTGATGCCAAAGGGCAATAGCACCTCCCTGGAACCCCAACTCCCACGTAATTTGGAGCTATGGGCAAAGTTAATTAGTTGTGATTTTTCAAAGAACATTCAAAATCGAATCGGGCAGCCGAAAACACAAACAATATTGTCAGCCCGCGGCTAAAGTCGAGGGGGAAAACTGCAGCCAGGCGTGGCACATGTTGAGTGTATAAAATTTTGATGAATGTTTTGTTTACAGGGGCAGCAATACCATATAGCATGCTGCACACATCTCCCCCCCTGACAAGGGGTTGATTATTACGTGGGGGCAGGAGGCGACTGCATCTGACGGCATCTGGGATGCGGCACACACATATGTGCCTCGGGTGCCGCGGCCGCAGATTGGAAATGGAAATTGAATGTGAATTATATCGGATATCCAGACATACAAGACAGTGAGAAGATGACCTCACGCCTATCTGAACTTTACACAAAAGGAATTTGTGGATAATTAAGTGCACTGGAAGAAAATATGTAGCTTTAACAGGAACTAACTATTAACACTTTGAAATAAATATGCAGCATATCATATAATAGTTTGTCAAAGTGGGACTAAAAGGTATAAAGTACTAAAGATCTTTCTTTCAGTGCCTTCTGCCGAGACCAGAGCAGATGCCATAAATTACGCAGCATAAACAGACTGCAACTAATTAACAGGAAAATGCATCATCTGCAGCTCAACATCCCCAAAATCTTGTATTTTTCTTGTCTTTTTTGTTTCAGGAGTCTTAACGCTTTCCGATTTTCTCACAGCTCAGGTGAAAGTGTGTCTGTTGAGGACAAGTATGGGTAAATTGGCTCAAATTGGAATGGCATGTTAAGTCCCCCGGGTAGCATTTATTTTCCTAATCAAATTTCGCCTTTCTTCGGCAGAGCCGAAAATAATAATTTAAATATTTCGCCCTGCGGACAGGCAGAGCGGCGGCGGCGACGGTGGCAGGAAATGGCATTTGGGCAACTGGCTGGCTAACAAGCTAGCCAACAGCAATGGCAAACAAGGAAAAACTGGAGTAAAAACCCTCACAACAATGGGAAAAACTTAACTCTGCCGCGAGCCACGCACACAAACATACAAACATACACTGCCAGACGATACAAAAGAAGCCGAAATCCCGGGAAGAAATTAGTTTCTCTTCGTCCTGCCCTCTAGCCCCGAGGTCCTTGCAGTTCTGTTTGTCCTGTTTGTTTCCCTAGCCGTTGTAGCTGTTGCTGCTGCTGTTTCTGCTGCTGCTCCTGATGTCCTTGTGTTGTGGGCAGCACACAAAATTGGCAAATACAAGCGGACTTAGGCCACAGGAGCTTTTACTGCCGAAAACAAAAAGCGGAAAATTCCTCAACGGCCGAAGGGGCTGGAAGGGGGAAAAGCGGCGACAAACACACAAAAAAAATGTTGGCAATGCAAAAACTTGTATCGTCGCAAAGGGCGAAAAATGCAGGCCGCAGACAAACGCAAAGAACAGCCCACAAAGTGGGTGCCAACAGGATCAGTGGAGGGGTTAGAGCTCCGGAAGGGTAGGAGGAGCAACACTCCGCAGATAATTTGGATTTTTGTGGTCCCGACAGCTATTTAATCGAGTCAGAAAACATTTTCATATTTTAAAGTATTAAGTAGGCTAAAATAGGCATTTTAGTTTTAAATATTTCTGTACAAAAATGTATTTGGACTTTCTCTTGGTAAGATAGTTTAAAGGTCCTTAGAGTATATAATATTTCCATGTACAATAGTATCTCTTCCTTATTACCAATACCTTAAGTAAGAGAATTATTATATATTCTCCTTTTTCTGTTACCTACTTTCCCAGGAAACGCAATCCCTGGTTGGCAAACATTGTTATCTCAGAGTCTAGCCAGTGTTATCATAGCCTTTACATGCGTAAATATGAATACAACCGAAAGAAAACTAGAAGCAGCCTAAAAAAAACCTCAACAAAAGCCCACGTGGAGCCATCGAAGAGGCAACAAAATGAATAAGTTCTAGAAGATGATGAAATTCCTGGAATTCGAGGGGGACGTGCTGAACATTTCCCAATGCCCAAGTCTTTAGCTAAAGTTTTTCGACCACAAAACAGAGCCAGGGACAAAACCAGGTGTCGTTATGGCCGCACACGCCAAAAATTTCAATAGCGCAGCGAAAGTTTCATTGACTTGACAGGTGGGTATTTGCCCCATCTCTTGCCTTCTCCACGGCGGCTGTAATTGTTACCGTTTAAATTCCCATTAAAAGCGGCTTGGCCTAGGCAAATGGCTCTCACTTGGCCGCCGGCCGGGAAGCTGGCCAAGATTCAAGGCAGAAAATATGTCACAGCATTTAAGCCAAGTCGGCAGACAACAAAG